TGTTTCATGAATAGTAATGAAAATAGGAGTCTTGCGTTCTAACTCTTAGTGCAAGAACTCCTCATATATTTCATACCAAATATAGTTTTATAATACGCGTGAAAGCTTAAAATGGCAGGATGTATTTTCCCCTTGAAAGTTTGAAAGGTTTATGGGTTCCAACTCATTTGTCAAAATTAAGGATGAAAAAAAGTGTTCTGATGGTATTTTTCAGTAAGATTGGCGTAAAACAATAGTGTGCACGAACAAGCAAACAAAAGCTTGTCAATATAAGCTTACCATTTAGGTGAAGAACCAAAACAAGAACCAGAAACAAAAAGAAGAACAAACAAAAAACATACAGCCTTCATGAAAGGTCTTTAAAATAATTTACCTTTATTGTTGAAAATATTACAGTTGTTACCTGCTCCCTATCCCCCACCACTGCCCCCTTCTAGCTCTTACCCTCTCCTCCCCCCATCCCAGGCCTTCACCACACTATTGTCTATGTCCATGGGTTATGCATATCCTATATAATAAAACCATAGTATGCAAATTGTCCCCTTTACTGAGTTCTTCCAAGAGTTTGACCGGTGGTGGGGTGGGGCCAGCCAGGGGAAGGAAGGGAGTACCTGTCCAGCTGCTGCCAGCTTCTAAGGACCTTACCAGTGCACGAATCATGCACTGGGCCTCTAGTATGTGTAGAAGTTCTTTGGTCAATCACTTCCCACCCACCCACGTGAAAGGTATTCACTGTCATAATTATAATATATAAATATCAGCACAATATAACAGGAAAAAATGAACTGTTCAAACTTATTTTTCAAAATATATTTTTATGGACTTTAGAGATGAAGGGAGAGGGAGATAGAAACATCTATGATAAGAGGAATCATTGATCAACTGCCTCTTGCATAACCCCCACTGGGGATCAAGCCTACAACCCCAGGCATGTGCTCTTGACCAGAATTGAACCTGGGACCCTTCAGTCTATAGGCCGACACTCTATCCACTGAACCAAACCAGCTAGGGCTGGACTGGTCAAGCTTTTAAATGAATTTGGATGAGTCACCTAAACCCTCTGGGTCACAGCTACCTCACTTCAAATAAGTCTGAAGTAATTCCAAGTGGTTCCGAAAATGTAGTCCACAAGTAAGTGCTAATTGATGATACAATCTTCAAGGATAGAAGGTGAAAAATGAAGGGCAGTAGGAAAAAAATAATTCAGGATTAATAATGCCAAAGGTTATTTTTTTTTTGAACCTCATATTGCTTCAATAAATGGAAAAAAAAGTAAAACTTTGGATTATGGGATTTCTACAGGCTTTTCTTTGTATATAGTGTGAAATCCTATAAAGGTACTTGCTATGAGTAATATGTCTACAATTCAAGTAAAATTTTTGGTACTACATTAAAAGTTGAGGTAATGGTAGGTGTTGAAATACAAATCTCTCCCAACCTACCTGCTTTTACTTTCCAAAATTATACAGATAAAAAAAAGTAAAGTAAAACCACACAAAACTTATGCCTTTAAAATATATAGAATGCAGAAGACACTAAAACTTCAAGCTAACCTACAAATAGAAAAATAAATACTAATTTTCAGCAGAACTGGGAGATCAGAGGCCAGATACAGAGAAGGGGATTAACAAATTGGTAGGGATTTAGCCCACAACCCATATGATTTTTAAAAAATATATATATTTTACTGATTTTTTTACAGAGAGGAGGGAGAGGGATAGAGAGTTAGAAACATTGATGTGAGAGAAACAGTGATCAGCTGCCTCCTGCACACCTCCCACTGGGGATGTGCCTGCAACCAAGGTAAATGCCCTTGACCGGAATCCAATCAGGAACCATTCAGTCCACAGGCCGATGCTCTATCCACTGAGCCAAACCGGATTTGGCCCCTATACTTGACTGGGAATCATAACCACTGAGCACACTGGCCAGGGCCAGAAGTCAGTTCTTTTGGCCTTCTTCCTGTATATCAAGAATCAGAAGCTGTGGAACCTGACAGACATTGTACAGATCAGATTTCTGTGATTCCTCTCTAGATACTTGTGCCTTTGGGTGTGCCCCCTATTTGGAGACTTCATTCCTGACTCTTGTCTCTGAGACTGCAGCCTTTGATGTCCTCACAGAATCTTTTTTGCTTGCTTGTTTGACCATGGGACTTTTGGAAGCTCTTTCATACATTTTGTTGTTTGAGGTTGACTTATCTAGTTAGATTAAAGATTGTTTCCATTTGTGTTTCTTGTTAAAATTATTTTGGGATGATTTTAGAAAGAACATTGACACTATTTTATAATTAGAATCTGATAGTTTATTCTTTTCTAAATGTGATTTTTATGGTACTTCAGAAAAGTAACTGGAAAAAGATTCATTTAGTAAAAATTTAAAAAACACCACATTTATTACCATCTCAGGTAATACAACACATCTATTGATTTAAAAAAAATTTTTTTATAACCAACTCTAGGTAGAAGTGATATCTCTATTATCCTTTTAGGGATGCTTCACTCTATAGCTATCCAGAAAAGTGTGCCATTTACATAACCATAAGAATTGCATTTGCCAGAGTGTTCATAACTAAGAAGCAAACAATTTGATTGGTTTGAATATCTCACCACTAAGGTTGTTAGTTCAGTGTATTGAGTAACCAAGTTCTGTCAGTTTCCCTAAATACTTTTATATATTTTTTCTACTTATATCTTAATCCTACTTGTGCTCCAGGCATTATGCTAATGAAGGCCTATAAAAAGTACAAAAGAACGAATACTCTGGCTATCATGTATAATTATGGCAAGACTGGCGAGATTTGTCAGGTTAGAAATGTGAGTTGTATAAAGATTCTCCAGGAGAAATGACACTTTCTTGTGATAATATTCTGGCACCAGAGTGGGATAACCAGGTAATTGACCCTTTTACTAGTATGAATACTGGATCTCACCAAAAGGCTGGATTTAGATTCCCAGACAGTTATTGGGAATTTGTTACATACGTAGCGATATCACATCAATAACTTTATTTAATTGACTTAGTAACTCTCAAGGCAAATTCTGTTACTCTACTCTTTTTAAAATATCACACATGAAAGTCAGAGAAGTCATATGATCTTCACAAAGTCACACCGGCCAATTCTTGGCAGGACTGGGCCTGAACCTACATCCTGAGTCTGGGGCCTGGCTTCTCCTACATGATTTGTACACCAAATGTACTCTCTCGACTTAGTTAGTTTTCCATTATTTTCCATTAAACTTTAACTTTCTGACTCTCAGCTTTTGTTTGATCCCCAGTGATGGCAGAAACCTCAACATCACAGTGAAGTTAAGTGACTGAATCTGTCCCCAAGAACCTAGAGGAAGCTGGGAAATGACACTTTTTTTTTTCCTTCCTGTTCAATCTTGACGTGCCCGAGGCTGCTTAGATTATTGTTCTTTTCTTATATCCCTTAATATCTTGAAAACTGTGTGCATGAACAAAAAGTCCTGTGAGGCACTGAGAGCATTTTAAAGCAATAAGAGTGAAGCTGTCATAGTTTGAACAGGTAACACACAAGACCAAAAGAATGATAATTCAAGAGAGGCAGATGGGATGAGTGTATGATTCTCAGCCCAGGGAAGAAGATTTTATTGAAGAAAAAAAGCACAAGTGATAGAGCTTTTGCCCTTTTCCCTTCTAGTTTTAGAATCTCAGGTGACTTGTAATTTTAATTGTGCATACAAGGAAGATAATCTTTTATTACTTTCTCTCTGTTTATTAGTCTATGTGACTTTTGATATAAAGGTTGGAAGAACAGTGTAGGGATGCTAAATGTATACTGACAGAGCTCTGCTTTTCCTCCACATTCCTCCAGAGGGTCACTGCCTCACCGTGTTTATCTCCTGTGAGTCATCAGAGTTTGAAGAGTATGTTTGTGAGTATGTGTGGCAGGTGTGGGTACAGAGAGGAAAAGCACATTGCTTTGGTGATTATATAGTAGTACACTCCCTTTATCCCAAATGCATCTTTCTGTGCAGAGGAAACCAAATTCTTCTCCCACTTCACTTTGAGTAAGCCCTCTAAGAGATTGGAGGTCTCTCATAAACTTTTTTACTTATTTATTTATTTTTATCTAAGAGTTACCAATAAGGAGACATGTTTATAAACATAAGGCCATGACCTTCACATAACTTCTCTAGGGGAAGGAGATGAAGTTATGGGAGAAGACAGGAGGGGACTTCAGAAGATGACCTGACTACAACAAAGTTTTCTAGGCACCATTGAAGCATGAGCCATCTTGTTCCAGTAACCTCTATGTTGTAAAAACTGCTGTTTAAAAGTTTCCACTAAAAACAGTCCCTTGTTCTGTTAATTAACTTTGCTCTTTTAGCTCCTGCAAACATGCTTGCTCAAATCTCTGTTAGCATAATGGTTTGGTTCCTCTCATGTCAGGTATCTTCTGGTTATATTTGAGTTGTGCTGTGCTCAAGGCCATAAGCTGCCTGCAAGATAGTTACTGGGCACACTGTGGCTCCTCCCCCCCCCCCCCCCCCCCCCCACCAGCACACAGTGCTTCTTTTATTTTTTTAAAAGCCTACAAAAGGTCTAGAAGTCTCATTCCATATTTGGGAGACAAAGAGACCTAGAAAATATAAAAAGGGGAAGCTTCCTCCATGTTTTTGCTCAGACTCTGGAAACAATATTCCTTTGAACCCACCAGCGTAATAAAATCTCCTAATTAATTTTGCTTATTAATGCATCTTATGTTCAGCTCACTAATTTACAATATAGCATCATGAATGGCATTTATCACATTCAGTTGTATTTAACCAGATGTGCTACATGTTTTGTTCTTTGCTTTCCCTCTTTCACAGTAAGCCCTTAATTGGATTTTTAAGGCCACTAACTGCTTTTAGGATACTCCTTCTATGGGATGAGGATCACTTACGATTTTTAAAAATTAAACTTTGAGTTATTGTTTTCTTTCCACATCACCAATCATGGGTGATTATAAATGGCTCGTCTTGATTATGAAGGGCTATGTCTCCTTAGGAGCACACAGCACTATTGAGTGACTACAGCATCCTACAGAGAACTTCGGTCTTCAGCCACAGAGTTAAGGGCTCCTGGTTTCACAGTCCTGCAAGTCCTTTTAGAAATGACCTTCATTTATATTTAATTGATGTCTGTTTGTATAAGATTATTGGTAAAAACATTGAATTCTTGTGCCAGATGCTAATAAGGCATAGGTGACAAAGTGTCCATTCCTGGCACCTTCAGATTATTGGGATCACTCTTTCCTGAAATATTTGAGTAGAACAGCCCAAACCCCTATTCCACACTTTGTAGGCAATCCAGTTTCTTCCCCAATATCCCTAAAGTGCGTCAGGGTGTTTGTGTCTTCTGACCACATTTTTCTCTGGTATCCTCCATCCAGGGAAACCTTTATCTTTATATGTTTCTTGATTTCTGTGACTGCTGTTCTCTTTCTGCACTATCTTAGTCATGTTGAGCACTGTGTCTATATCTCCATTTCTTTACCATCTCTCCTAAGGCTAACCTTTAATGAAACTTTGGGGACTGAGATCACTGATTAATGCCAACACCAATTAATGTGTAATCAGGTAATATGCTTATTGTTGGATTGATAAACAAGTTAAAATTGAATATTAGAAAATGTCCTAAAATTTCATCCATTGTTCCTCTGTCAGGAAGGGAATCCTTGCCCTTCTTAGCTCCTGGGGGGAGGGTGCCCATTGTCTTTTAGGTGCTTCTCTTTTTCTCTTGAGACCTTCTTCCTCATTTTGTAAGCTGCCAGCCCACTCCCCTGAATTGCTGTTCTCCTATTTAGAGACATTTAGGATTTTAACTGTTTTTTTCCAAATCAAGTCTACTTTGTGTTTGTGACTCAAATATTACTTACGTTGCTCTGTTTATGAAATGGAATTTTCTACTCTTACTAATATAAAACTCGGATATGAAAATTTTTCTTTAATATATTCCAGGAAAATTCTCAGAGCTCACACTCTCAATCAGGCAGAGTACATCTGAGGGCTTGGAATACATAACTGTCATTTATTGAATATTGATCGTGGCATTGTACATCTATTCCATTGAACCCTTTTAAGCTTTTCATTGTGAAGTAAGACATACACTTAAAAGTGCATAAACCTTAAGTGCAGAGTCTAATGAATTATGATAAAGTGAACACCTAATATAATTACTGCTCTGACCAAGAGAGAAAAGTATCAGCTCTCCTAATCCTGAATCCTGTCATTTAACCATTTCTGACCACTTTCTAATTCACTTCATGATACTGACAGATATGTACAACTTGAAATATTACATATTCATTTAAACTGTTTTTGAACTTTTAGAAATGGAATCATATAGTATGTATTCCCTTTGTATAGTCTTATTTCTTTTAGCATTAATTTTTGTGAGATTTATCCATGTTGTTGCATGGAGGTACATCTTATCTCTTTTCTGACTGGAATTACAATGTGTAAATATTCCACAAATTTTTATATGATTATTAATGTGTGTGTCATAATTAACAAGACCAAGGGAATTCTTAACATGTTTTCTGTAATACATATGCATTAAATTTTATTTTTGTGTATATTTAAGAGTAAAATTTCTGTTCATCCAATTTAGTCTTCTCAATATCTGTCAGGTGGGTGGGAAATAGAAAGGTATTGTTAAAATACAGACTCTGACTCAGTAGGTCTGGGCTGGACCTGAGATTCTGCATTTGTATAGGTATCACAGGTGGTGCTGATGCTGCCTGTTAACAGACTGCTCTTTGAGCAGGAAGGATGAACATGGTATCATTTACATAAGTTAAAAAGCACAAGACAACAGTGAAGAATATTTTGGAACTCATATGTTCTGGTTAACTTTGAGTCAACTTGGCCATGGTACCAAGTTGTGTTTTTCAAAAACTAATCTAGATGTTTCTGTGAAGATATTTGTGGATGTGATAAACACAACTGGTTAACTGGAGGTAAAGCAGTTTATCCTCTGTATATGGGTGGGCCTCACCCAATTAGTTGAATATCCAATGGCAAAGACTGAGGTTTTCTGAAACAGCAGCAATTCTTCCTCAGGGCTGAAATATAAAAATCCTGCCTGAGATCCACTATGTAGATTTTGGATTCAAGACTACATAAACTCTTATTTTTTTTTAATATATATTTTCAAAGGTTTAATATATTTTAACTTTGACAGCAATTAGGAAAGTCAGCGAATGGACTAAGATCTCTGCACAGTGATTTCACAGTAGGTGACATTGAACTTAAGTGTTGTTTGTTCTTAAGTATTTCATTACAAAAGTTAACAGTTGAAATACTTTTTTAAAAACTTGGTGAATCATTTTTTTAAACAAATGAATTTTATTTTATTTTATTTTTTAACCTTTTTGTTTAAATTAAATTATTATCTAAACTCTTACCTGAATTCCTGCTGGCCTGCCTGATTTCAGTCTTGCCAGCTTCCATAATTGCCTGAGTCAAGCCATACAATCAATCTTAATTTATTCTGTCTATCTATCTATCTATCTATCTATCTACCTACCTATCTTATATCTACCTATCTTTCTATCTATCATCACCTCTATTTGTTCTGTTTCCCTGAAGAACCTTGACTAGTACAGCATAAAAACACAAAGAAGAACATTGAAACAAAATGCAATGGTTGCCTTTGGGGTGAGGCATGGGAAATAAAATGTGATAGAGGAGACAGGAAAATAAGGATTTGTCATGGGTTAGCGATGAAAGTGTGTCATGAACTGGGAATTACTAAGACAACCACTAAACCTGGAGCTTTATAAAAAAAGAAAATCAACAGTAAACATGTCCTCAGAAGCCAAAGGAGATCGAACCCAAAGCATAGGCAGAAGATTGGCTTTAGGTAAAAGGGGCCATTCATCTCCTTTAGTGGAAGGGAGAACAGGATGGATGATGTCCCACTTTACTCCCATGGATCCCATTGCTCCCATTTTCATAGTTTCTACGAGATGGAAGTTGGAAGCCCATTATTGTCCGGAGACCAGAATTGCATAAAGAGGGTGAAGCAAGCCTTTACTTGCTACTGTGCTGTACTAGATGGCATTAAAAGCAGGAAATAGCTAACGGAAGGAAGGGAGGCTGGATAGAGAAGGTGGCTGTTGTTCTTTTATGGGCTGAAACATAGCACCGTGAGGAAAATACAAGGTGATGCAGGAGGAGAGATTACACACCAGGCATTTTTAACTTATGAAGGAGGGGGGCTCAGGATGAATCCTAATTTACATAACTGGTATTTATGTGGTGGTTCTAGAACCCAAATCAGCAACCTTTCTTATTAGGACAAAGGGCATATATCAAGTGTTTTCATCCAAAGGTCTAAGCAAAATGTCAGCGTTTCCCTAATTTAGCCAGACAGTTTTATTCAAATGTTACAGATGAAAAGTTTTCCCAGTCTTAAATAATCAGTGACAAAATTAATATTTGACATTTAGTTTAGCTCATGCCAACACTTGTTCTTTTAAGAGCGTGAATGATGAAGTGAAGCAGGCCCAGGTTTAAACTCTTGGCTTCTCTACTTGCTAGGAATGATCTTGAACAAACTTTCTATGCTTTAGTCTCTTTATAACTTGGACATAGAAATAGTTCCTCATAAAATTGTTGCTTAAGGAATAAATTAACGCATGCAAACTGTCTAGCTTTGCTTACAGAATGTCTAGTACATAGTAACTGCTTAATATTAGCTGTTAGAAACAGTGATTCCAACAGTAAGAAATATGGAAATTAGTTTTCTCAAGTGGGACCCTGTGTGTTCTTGTCTAGTCTGATAGTGACCAATGGCAAGCTTTAGTTTACCGAGACAAGTAACCCACAGGAACAGCTAAATTAGGACAAAGTTCTTGTTGTTCATAGACTAAATTTAAAAATCCTGAAATGCTAGACCTCTTATCAAATAAAGAAGAAGGTAAGAATCTGTTCCATGTTTTCTTTGCCTAAAGGTCTCAGTTAAAAGTACTTCCATCAAGCAAATCATTAGTACATTATGATGAATGCATTAGGCCTTTTCAGAGATAAAGATGCAAAGAACCAGGAACCATAGTTTTTGTTCCTCCAAAAAGTTATTATTTATGCTGAAGGAATATCTAGTTTTGAGCTCAATCTATATTTTTTCCAATGTTAAATTAATGGATGTTTTTATGTGAACCAGGCTTTTAACGGTTAATTCTCTATCAAATGGATAAATGGAAAGATATCACCATTCTAACTTTTGTTTTTGTGCTCTCTCTCTCTCTCTCTCTCTCATATATATATATGTATATATATATATATCACTGAATGCTTGGTCTCCATGTAAAGTGGTTTTCCCTTGTGCTGTGGGTTGAATTGCATTTTTCCCATCCCCTGCCTCATTCTAGCATCTAGTCCCCAGAATGAGGCCTTATTTGGAGAGGCCTTCTTTTTTCGGGAGTGATGAGTATGTTCATTACTTTGACTGCAGTGATGGTATCACATGTGAATGCATATGTTAATTCATCACAGTGTATACATTAAACACATATGGTTTTTATTACATATTAATTATATCTCAAAGCTGTTAAAATCAGTATAAATATAAAATCATAACAAAAACATCAGGGCAGAACTTAAGCATCCTCTGGGAATTACAATGAAGTCTTCCATAGCTCAGTTGTTAACATGAAGGACTGGAGAATGGGGTTATTTTACTCATACTAAGTCCATTGTTTGAATTTCATTTGAACAACTTTACCTTTGGAAAGACATTAAGCAGTGGCCAATGATAGTTTTTGAAATTCCTCAACAATGACAGATTTTGAAATTCCTCAACAATTTATGAACCAGATAAGATGTTAATAACCTTTTATGGTGTAAAGAGCAGTAGGAAATCTTAAATACATTATCAACCTCCAGGATGATATATAGGCACCTGGTAACAACAGTTCCGCAGGGAATGGTGACTGGGGTTACTGAAAGTTATTTCATTTGTGACATTTACAGAAGTTGGATGCAGGATATGGGGTTTTATAGAGATAATCAAGTTAAAGACTACATAATTGAGATGGACTTGCATCCAATATGACTGATATCCTATCCTATCTAATAAAAGAGTGATATTCAAATTAACCATCACTCTGCTATTA